TTTGTGTTTTGGGTGTAGCTGAAGTGCTTCTGGGATGTTCAGAGGAGCTTACATTTCTGCAAGAAGCATATAGTTGGTAGTGTCAACTTTCTGCCACATCAAGGGTGCAATCCTGTGCAAATGTCAAATACATTTTTGGATAAGCTGGTCTTATCTCTTGAGTAAATGTGTCAGGTTAGGCAGGCAATCCTGTGCAAATGTCAAATACATTTTGAATGAGCTGGTCTTATCTCTTAAACGTGTCAGGTTAGGCATCAGCACATCTCCATAACTTGTTTTCCAGTCTACTTCTAAGTGAACGTCCTGATTAATCATAGATGCAGTCCTGTGTAACTCTGGGTACAAGATCTATATCTTGTCCTTATTGTTCCCTGAAAACTCAGATGCAACTGCTTGAAACGGGCCTCAGTGTCTAGCACCACGTAGCTTAGCTGCTGTTGTGCCATAGAATATATGGTCATCTGTTCACTTATCTCCCTGATAGCATTTTGCAACAGGTCACGAGTCGCTAATGCAACAATACTCAGCTTAGCCAAATCCAGGTGTGTTGGACAACAAGTCCCATCATCCTCAGAGGGGGAATGGGAGGAAAGCTGCAAACATGCACCGAGTTCTTGTGTTTCTGGCCTTATGACCTATGCTGCTTCTTTAATGTTTGCTTTCGTGGCAGAGCTTTTCCAAGCCGTCCCTTCCCTTCCTTCCCTCCCTATGTGCTTCATATTGGGTTAAAAAAAGCTGTGCTAAACTCCCTTGAGGGACTGTGGTCATGAGAAAAAGAGTGAAAAGCTGTGATCCTGGTAGTCTAGTTGACATTTCTCTGTAAGGCAGGCAGATGGAGTTCCTTCCCACCAGCCCGGATGTCTTAGCACAGGCAGTCTGCATCTGCCTCAAACGGGAATGAATGGAAGCACCAGCCATTGCTGGAGCATGAATTGCTGGTTAATGAAAGAGCTATTTCTATTGTTAAAAGTAAATGTTGCTGTTATGGGCCAAACATAGTCTTGGGGGAAGGAACTCTACTGTGGAAACATGCTGTTATTAAAACTAGAGTGTAACCGGATTGTACTGGACCTCTTCCTTGCACTCTAAGGCAAGTGGTTCCCAGCCATTTTTTTTAATTGTGTACCCCTTGGCTGCCCATTTCCATAAATTCTGCCCTTTGTATTAGCAAAATGTTTGTAATGGTTGCTGTTATTTCAAATTTATGTGTTGTAGCTGTGAAATAAATAGTCCAATTATGGGATTAAAAAGCAATGGAAATAATAAGGTGAAGAGATAGTGCGTATATCTTTACATTCAAAACTCAAAAAGTTCAATGAATTCAAGTAAATGCATTGCAGAAAACCCGAAAGAACTCGCTCACAGGACAGCGTGCATTGCTTGCTAAGCAGTACTCGTTAAGCGAGGCACCACTGTACATCGCAGAAAACCCGAAAGAACTCGCTTACAGGACAGCGTGCATTGTTTGCTAAGCAGCGAGTGAAAGGTGACCCTCTGAGAGGCGCACTGTACTGCTGTGTTCACAGCACATTGTTTAAGGAGAGACTCCCCACCATTCACCAAAATAACAAAGCCCAGGAACGGGGCTTTTCCCCCCAAATGAAGTAAGGAAGAAAACACCCTCCACCATTCGCCGTAACATTCAATTAATTTCACAACTTTTGACTTGTACCTTCTCTTACACTGTTGACAGATGTACCTTTCCCCACCGAGATTCAGTTTTTTTCTTATACTCCTCAATGTCCTGGTTGATTCCCCCTGGGGGGGGCGGTACCCGAACCCCAGATCACAGCTCTAGAGTGGCCAAGAAATCGGATCTCAGGGTGGAGCTCACATGGATCAGAACACCCTTCGGTTTTGGTGGATCCTCCCTCCCCAAGGCACAGGATACAGGACTAAGAAGTTGTGACTCAGGCATAGCAGAGCAAATGTGACCTTTCTGCCTGATACCCTTGCAAGGAATCCATAGATTTCTGCAAGGGCCTCCTCTGCAATGTAATACCTATTCTGTTCAATTTGACGGGACTTGCTCTGAAGTCGACTATGCTGTTCCTTAGCTGTAAGCTGCCATCAACTTGACCTTGCCACTGTTTTCTTTAGGGGTATGGTGCTATGCGGTCTGATCTCCGCCTTCAGTTAATTATCACCTGAAGTCAGGCAGAGGAGAGATAAAATATGAGAGATAAGAATGAAATGTTTTGAAATGAGCAATAAGTTTCGGCATTTGGTTTCTGCATCATCGTTTTCTCTTCCGGAGAGGAAGGAGTCCCCTCACCCTCATGTCCTCTTGGAATAAACAGCATATTGACATTTTGGTTAAAATGTTTCTTTTCATCTATGATGACTTTTATTACACTAATGAAGAGCACCAAGCGATTCATAGGCAATTTAAGCCTTGTTATCTTATTCATTTCATTACATCTCAACAAAAAGTATTAATTCTATTTTACGCACGACCACCACATGCAGTTAAAATTGCCTCTGACTTTATTGCTTCAGCAACTGATCGCCACACCTTGTTCCAAATACATCCTGGCTCTTAAACTGGAATATAATGTCAATGAAATAATATTTTACGATACTTTCTTTAGCCTTTAAAAGAGAAATAAAGCCCTTCTATAAAACTTAGTATCTATTTTTTTTGTGGGAGTATTGCTAATTTCAGTGCTCTTATACTATCATTGATTCACAGACGTTCAACAAGTATTTATGTATGAAAAAAAAACCCACCTCTTTTGTAATTGGGACACAGAAGAATGTAGTCTAAATGAGGCTGTGTTGCCAAGGTTTGTTTCCTGATTTGTTTCATGTAAGCATAACTAAAGCAAACAATTGTTCTTCCAAATTCAGACATGGTGGGTTGTAAAGTGAAAGCAAGTGTGGTTAGGGTTGTCGTAGGTTTTTCGGGCTGTTTGGCCATGTTCTGGAGGTTTTTCTTCCTAATGTTTCGCAAGATGCCCATGGCCACAGAGACTGGCAAAACGTTAGGAAAGAAAAACCTCCAGAACACGGCCAAACAGCCCGAAAAACCTACAACAACCATCGGATCCTGGCCATGAAAGCCTTTGAGAATGCAATTGTGATTATTCTGATACTCTTGATAATAAATTATACCTGAAGATTTGAGGGAAAGTTTTTTTAAAAAACAAAAAACATTATTCTAGAGTTTAGTATTCTGAGCTGTGAAGGTCTCTCTTACACCTCCATTCCACATAAATGAAAACTCTGTCCACCCTTGGAGATAAGGCAGTTAGCAATTAGCATGAATGATGTGAAAGTCTGCACATTTTTCTTCAGAGCATGGACACCTAATGCCATGAGTCACGCACAGGAGCAAAATCCCCATACGGAGAAGCTTAAAATACAGATTTTTAAGGGGGATTTGCAGGCTTTAAGTTGGAAAGGAAATGAAGTCTCATACTGTTTCACAGGAATGAATGAGCCAGAGGTATGTGCAATAAAATACCTACAGGGAACAAAGTTGTACATTTTCACGTTTTGCTGTGAAATGTTGTCTGGGGGTGTGGGGAGGAATCTAGGCACCCAGGCAAAATAAGGCTGCAGCCATAAGCAGAATTTATAGGAAAGAACCCACTGAATTCAGTGATCTTTCCTATGTGATGTTTAGGTCCAGACTGTAAGTGCCCTTCTCCGTTAACAGGGTGTCTAACACCTATGGAACTACTGTATATGAATGGACTTTGTTGTAAACCAAATGCTCAGGTGAATGGATCAGAGGGATCTGATTCATCTTTCTGATGTTCTCACCCCCACCAGAAAACAAGAATGGAAGAGGATAAACGTGACTATTTGTGGTGCAAGTAATTGTGAGAACATTTCCAGTTACTTAAGGCGTGGATGAACATATGATTATCAGAATGCTGCCTCCCCCCCCCAAAAAAAACACATGTACTGAAAGACAAAGACTAAGCTGTCTTTTTAACCAGGTCTTAACTGACACATGTTTCCTTAAGGTGGAGACTTGTGTAACCTTCTCTTGAGGACATACTGTACACTTCAGGTTAGAAATGGGTGGCGCCAAGCTGTGTGAACACTTGTGCAAGCAGAATCCAGAGACTTTGGGGCAAAAAGACAGGATGCAAGTGGTGAATCTTATTTTACCCACTATCCTGGGGATGAAGAAGATTCCATGTTTCTCTCGAGCCCATACTGTTTTTATCAGAAAAGGATATGTATCAGCAGGTTTGCATGGGACTAAAAGATTTAAATATTCGTCTCCTTTGTCTGCATAACTTTGTTGAGCTACTGGGATGCGTTTCCAGTGGGCACAAGCATTCCATGCAGGTCTCTTAGAGCATTTTCCCCACCCCCACCCCTGCTAGATTGCTGCCCCTTTCTATCTACAAAAGCCAGCATGTTTGGCACCAAGGGCTAAGGAATGATGGCTGTCAATTTCACACTCTTTAAAAGGGATGTGGTGGAGCTGTGGGCTAAACCGCAGAAGCCTGTGCTGCAGGGTCAGAAGACCAAGCAGTTGTAAGATCGAATCCACGCGATGGAGTGAGCTCCCACCGCTTGTCCCAGCTCCCACCAACCTAGCGGTTCGAAAGCATGCAAATGCAAGTAGATCAATAGGGACCACCTCGGTGGGAAGGTAACAGCGTTCCGTGTCTAAGTCGCACTGGCCATGTGACCACGGAAGATTGTCTTCGGACAAAACCCTGGCTCTATGGCTTGGAAACGGGGGTGAACACCGCCCCCTAGAGTCGAACACGACTGGACAAAAATTGTCAAGGGGAACCTTTACCTTTACCTAAAAGAGGTTTTGTCAAATTTGTGGAAGTCACGGTGACTATATATTATATCCAGCCTCAGAAGCCATATGCCTCTCAGTACCAGTTTCTGGGAATCATGAGAGGCTGGTCCTGTCTTGGCATGAGATAAGCTGCATATGTCTTTTTTTTGTGGGGGGGGGATGTCTAATATTTATCCTGACTTTCCGTCTTTCCTTTAACCAAGGTCTGTTGGATTTCTTGCAGGAAGAGAAGAGGTACCGAAGCACCTATCTTGCTGCTGAGGAATCTGAGCGGGAATCGTTCTCTCTCTTCTCAGCCGCTGTCAGGGAAAGTCATGAAAAAGAGCGGGCAAGAGCAGAGAAAACGAAGAACTGGTCCATTATTGGCTCAGTATTGGGAGCCGTAATCGGTGTCCTGGGTTCCACTTACATCAACCGAGTGAGGCTGCAGGAGTTAAAAGCCTTGGTGTTTGAAGCACAAAAGGGACCAATAAGCCTTCAGGAAGCCATCAGAGAACAGGCCTCCAACTATAATTCCCAACAGAGAGATCTAAGCGATCTCATTGCTAACTTGAAGAACATGCTACAGGTGGTGACTGTGACGTCACAGGAAATGGAAGGAGCTTCCCCGGCCAAAGGCAGCATGAATGCATCCCTAAAAATAGACCCTCTCTTAGTTTCCATTAAGGAGCAGCTGAGCCACTCCAAACAAATAAGCTCATTCGTTGGAAGCTTGCAGGAGCAACTCGGCAACCTGGAAAAAAGTTTAGAGCAGATCACCGCGGAGGTGCGGAATGTAAAGACTGTGCCTGATCCTGCACCTGGGGAGAAAATGTTTCTTAGCCCTCCAACCGAGGGGAGCGGCCACACCTTGGAAGCAGAAGACGTGGTTCTCGAACTCTGTAACACGGAAAGGAGGCTGGAAGCCCAAATGAAGAAGAACTCAATCTACAGCACAGCCTTCACCTGTACGATGTTTGCTATCACGCTTCCCGTGCTCTATGTCCTGCTCAAGGGGAATTAGTTTGCAGCTCAGTGGGGGGGGGGGGGAAATAGTTCGGCTAGAGTGATAGAATGTCAGCCCTTGAGCACTGATGGCTTCTTTTTTTTGTACTACTTTCTAAATGCATTTTTGTGAAGTTGCAAGAGAAGCTGGAGGTGCCTGCAAATGTAGTACATTAAAAATGCAAATAACGCCTCTATCAGGCCTTGAACCTGGAATGGCTTGTGGGATTTTTTACAAATCTTTTGTTGATTCCTCTTTAATTTTTATTTCATTTCATTTTAGAGTTTTATCCGTACCTCTCACCTCACCGGTGCTTGCATTTCCTTTGGACCCTTTCTTTAGAGCTTGATTTGTTTGCCTTCATGCCCTCCAGTTCCATAATGAAGGGAGAAAGTGGTCCTAAGAGCCACTCCTGGAAAAAGAAATCCTGCTTTATGTGCCTTTAAAGGACAAAATAAGCAGGAGTTCAGATTTCTCAGAGAATTAGGAGGCTCTCACTCTTTCCTGCTGCTATGACATTTCAACCATTAAATATATCTGCTGATCAATTGGATACCTAATTCGGGCTCTTGCTGGATGGGTGGGTGAGCGGGAGAGACAGAGAGAGAGAGAGAGAGACTGGCTGGTTAAGTTTCTGTGTGTAGGCATCCTCCTTTCCTACCAGAGGCACACACAGGCTCCCCTTGTCTTTACATGTCTTTTGGCTATGCCACAAAATAGCGTTTGAAGAGTCATATTTTTGGCATGAGGTCACATTGGAAGAGGGTGTTAACGGTGTACGTTTACATGATGTTCTGCACTGTCCCAGGCACCCTTTTAGAGTGAGGTAAGTTCCAGCCCTGTCGTTCAGTCCGCGTCCCGCAGTGAGGGGGGGCGGAGGAGAAGAAGCCAGGGTTCTTGCCCCCTTCATAGCTTTGCAAAGAGAGAATGGAGCAACTATACTTGGTCATCCAACCTGCACCTATCCTGTTCTGCATAGCTCTTAAAGGTGCTGGAGCTCCGCGCTCAAGGTTGCAGAGAGCCTTGCCATTTCTCTTCTGTGCAAGTGAAGAGCTTGATCGCCTTCTGCAAAAGTCTTAGTAAAGCCTTTGGGTTTCTGACGGCATGCTTGAGCTTCTTCTCTGTCCTGAGTTATGCACAGGGGATGGATGTGAGTAGCTAAACTCCAGAAGGGGGAGAACAGCTGGGTAAAGTGCCGCTTGGAAGTCTTTCCTAATGCTCCGTGCCTCCGTTGTAAATATTTTAATGATTTGTTCCACACATTTGCATCCCATGGTTCATGATTTTAACAGCTCCCGGGGTGCAACTCAGGTATTTTACACCACAGGAAGTGGGATAGATCCTCTCCCTGCCATCATTTTTATTCTCACCATAGCTCTGTGAGTTAGATTAGGCTGGGGGGGTGACAATTCGTTCATGACAGCCCAGTCAAGTCAATGGCAAGGGGTGAAGATGGGAAAGTTCAGTCACAGGTCTTCCCCGTCGGACGTCTGTCCTCCGACCACTACACTAAGCTTCTTAATCTTTGTTGTCTGCTACAGTTTGCTTTTGTTTTCAAATTACTTTATCCCTTAGTTACTGGCTAAGTGATGCTCCACTAGGGCAGTGGTTCCCTGCCTTGGGTCACCAGATATTACTGGACTCAAACTTCCAGAATCCCTGACTTCTGACCATGCTGGAGGCCCAAGGTTGGAACTACTGTCGCAGGCTGTGAGAACTGGCCTGTTGGTACCCAAGGCCTCCTGGAAAAGGCGAGTATTGGAGGAGGAATGTGAAACGAGTGAAAGAAGAGTGATCTCCTGCAGGTGCAAGTGTTCAGAGGAACATGTCTACCTCCTAGTGGAGCGAGTCTTGCATGTGATTCTCTTCGTAGTGCCACTGCAGCAACCTCCTGAATGCCCCCCCCCCCCCAAAAAAAAAAAAAAAAAAAAGGATGCAGGCAGGCACCAAAGCCCTAGTTTTTCTTCCCTGTTCTTCCACGTGGCAAAGAAAGCAACATTTTCATTGTACCCTAGAGCAGTGGTGTCCAACCTTGGCCTTCCAGATGTTCTTGGACTACAGCTCCCAGAAGCCTTCACCACCACCTCTGCTAGCCAGGATTTCTGGGAGTTGAAGTCCAGGAACATCTGGAGGGCCAAGTTTGGGCACCACTGCCCTAGAGCAAACAAGTGGATATGGTGAATGAAGAACTCCAAATAGCTCAGTGGTTTAGATAGCTGGCTGCGGAGCCATACGTTAGGAGTTGTATTCCCCACTGGGCCTCCTTGACCAGACCTGGATTCAGTGATCCAGGAGGTCCCTTCTAGCTCTGCAGTTTTAAGATGATGATCATTATCATTATCATCATTATCATTATCATTATTATTATTATTATTATTATTATCATCATCATCATCATCATCATCATCATCAAAAGACAGGAAGTGAGGGAAGCAACAACGTTCTATGACGGAGACACACCGCCACAAATATATTTTCAATATCTAAAACTCCCTCAGGATTTCTTGTCCCTCTTTTTTTCTTTAGCTGGTTTCTGGCACTTTTGACAAGCACAAGGGCTGGCTCATCATCAAAAGGTGAGGTTTTCCTCCCACCCTACAGCTGCCATGCCAGGAAAACCTGCACCTTGTGAGTATTCCATCTGTCGTTTACCCACTCTCTTTGTCTGACTGGGGAAAAAAAATTTTTTTTCCCAACACCTCAATCCTCCCATTCCTATAATTATCCTTTTTTCATCCTCAACAAACCTTTCAAACATATTTCCCATACCGAAGGAAAAGAGCAGTTCAGTTTCAGGAAACCTGTTGGTCATAACCATAAGCCGACTCAGGCCACAAAGAGCTTTATTTAGAAATCCACGGTGGCTATTACAAACCAGACAGGGCTACAACGCTTGGCTTCATTAGCAATGCGTATGCCAATTTCCTGATGCTTCCTCAGAAATAAATTTGACATCCTCTCGAGGGCACTAATTATTAAGTTAACGAGGCCCTTCTTTCAAACTTCGTAACAGTTCGGTCTCGAGAAACTGGAAACAATTGCCTGTGAAACTTGCTGGAATTCTAGAAGTTTCTTCAGAAGCTCTCTTTGTTTGGGGAGAGGAGGTGACTGGGCTGTTTCATTAGGCTACTAAGGTCACTGTTGCCTTGTGACTGAGACCAGTATCAGCCAAGCGCAAAGAATACCCTTGTTGATGCCTTAGCTTTCCAGAGGGCCCTACGCTGGCTCTGCGCAGAGACCTCCTTCCAATCTCCCAGCACAACCCAGGGCCTGGAAGAAAAATAACAATCTCTAGCAAGCCCTGGAAGACTGTGACAGCCTTGCCTCTGGTTCAGTGCAGCAGTTTTCCAGAAAGGGGTATAGAACCGGTTGAAGCCCTCTCTAGTTCCCAGGTGCCCATAATGAAGGAAACTAATTTCTATGTTTAATTTGGGAGAGCAAGCTGGGGAAGCTTTTTGTAGCTTTTGGAAGACGTCCTGGATTGGGAAGGTGTTCACCCTTCTGATAGAAATCCATCTTCATGTCCTAGCCAAGGTTGCTCAACATAAGCTGACATTCATCTTGCGAGCAGGCAGGGGGACCCTGTAACACTGAACTAGTGGTCCATTTCTGAAGTGAGAGCACATGGCCCCCCCTTCTCCACCTGCACCTAATCGTTTCTGCAATTTGGGCAAAGGCTGCAATGAATGCAATCCGCCTGAAATGAATTGGTTCCATTTACAGCTGGCAGATGAAACAGCTACATTTCAAAAGGATTAGAATGATTAGCAGTTACAGTGGTGCCTCGCTAGACAGTTACCCCGCATGACAGTTTTTTCGCTAGACATTGACTTTTTGCGATCGCTATAGTGATTCACAAAACAGTGATTCCTATGGGGGAATTTCGCTGGACAATGTTTGGTCCCTGCTTTGCAAACCGATTTTCGCTAGACGTCGATTTTGACAGCTCCCTCCACACTCGCAAAACGGGTGTTTTCGGGACCTAAGCTTCACAAGACAGCAATTTAAACAGCTGATTGGTGGTTCACAAAGCGGCTTTCCTATGGCTGATCTTCACTAGACAACGACGATTCTTCCCCATTGGAACACATTAAAACAGGTTTCAATGCATTCCAATGGGGAAATGCTTTTCCCTAGACGATTTCGCTAAACAGTGATTTCAGTGGAACAGATTATCATCGTCTAGCGAGGCACCACTGTATGAGGTGTTTTTTTATTAGTGTAACATGTAACATTGTTTAGTTACTTTTTGATGTTATTGGTTCTGACTCCTGTATCTCCTGACCCCTAAAAGTAATGTGTCAGCTTTCTCGATTCTTTTTTTGCAACAAATATTAAATGCAAGAATATTGCAATGAAGTACTGTGCAGAAAAGCTCTGCAATGTATTACACAAAAATGACCTTATAGAAGTAACTTCCAAACTCTGAATTTTCAAAGCTATCGTGAGTAGAGAGATAGAATGAGAAAGTTCATCTGGTGGATTTGGGGAAGGGGGGCAGGATGAGGGACTTTCCATACAGTTAATACAAACATGGAAGCCAAAAGCAGTGAAAATGATAGTTGTAATTATAACTAGCCCTGGAAGACAGGGCATCTGACATAGTAGAGTGGTCCTCAATCGAGATCTTTTGGAGCTCAACTTACAGAAACCCCAGCCAGCATGACTGGAGATATGGGCTTCTCAGAGTTGGAAGTCCAAAACATTTGGAAGGCTCAAGTTTGAGACTCACTGACCTAGTAGACGGGTCTCATTTTTATCTCTGTTGTGCTTTAATTTCAGAGCAGCTGGCAGATGAAACAGCTACATTTCAAAAGGATTAGAATGATTAGCAGTTACAGTGGTGCCTCGCTAGACAGTTACCCCGCATGACAGTTTTTTCGCTAGACATTGACTTTTTGCGATCGCTATAGTGATTCACAAAACAGTGATTCCTATGGGGGAATTTCGCTGGACAATGTTTGGTCCCTGCTTTGCAAACCGATTTTCGCTAGACGTCGATTTTGACAGCTCCCTCCACACTCGCAAAACGGGTGTTTTCGGGACCTAAGCTTCACAAGACAGCAATTTAAACAGCTGATTGGTGGTTCACAAAGCGGCTTTCCTATGGCTGATCTTCACTAGACAACGACGATTCTTCCCCATTGGAACACATTAAAACAGGTTTCAATGCATTCCAATGGGGAAATGCTTTTCCCTAGACGATTTCGCTAAACAGTGATTTCAGTGGAACGGATTATCATCGTCTAGCGAGGCACCACTGTATGAGGTGTTTTTTTTATTAGTGTAACATGTAACATTGTTTAGTTACTTTTTGATGTTATTGGTTCTGACTCCTGTATCTCCTGACCCCTAAAAGTAATGTGTCAGCTTTCTCGATTCTTTTTTTGCAACAAATATTAAATGCAAGAATATTGCAATGAAGTACTGTGCAGAAAAGTTCTGCAATGTATTACACAAAAATGACCTTATAGAAGTAA